ATAGTATGCTAAAAAATATGCATCTGATTTCTAAATTAATTTGATGAAAACTGTACATTTTTTTATTTTATTTTATTTTTTTTTTTTGCAAAAGTGTATTAGAAATTGTGTGGTATTTGGGTAAGATAGTAGCCTTCACTTTTTTTAGCTGCTCTATCATTTATTTATAGATGATTCTACCACGGTCATCACTGGAATCTTGGAACCCCGAATTATTTAGTTAAAGATACGTGAAATTAACGTAGAAATAGAGCACTCCATTCATTTAGACTGACTTCTTCTAATTTGATAGGCTGCTGATGGTCATCTCATTTTCCTTGTACAAATAAAAGTATTACAGAAGCCTTCATTAAAGGCTCCTTAATATTTATTTTGAACTGTCCCCCAAGAGGTTTGGGAGACTCAATTGATATGATAAGGGGCATTTTGAAAGATAATTTCCCCATATTGGAACTGAGTGGTATCATTAATAGAATTTTGTTTCGGAGACCGTATGCCAGGCTTCCACATCGCTGCAGCTGTATTGTTGGGGCTACAGCCTTCAGTTTGAGGTATTGGTTTTTCTCACCCCTGCTCTACCCCCTTACTGCAGGAAGAGAATTCAAGTGCCTCTATAATTGTACAACTTTGTCTCAGTTTTCTGAGTAAAAAGAATTTTGCTACCAAGAAAAAAGGGCTGAAGAGAAATCGCCTGCTAATTTTACGATAGGAGGAAAGCAGGCAGTTAAACAGGGGTTCTCGCAATGATGCTTTTGACTGAGGGTGGCTTAAATTTATGCTTTGCTTCCTATTTTGGGAGTCAGACTTAATGTTGCACTATCTGGACTTTTTGACTGAGTAGGAAGCCACTTTTAGTGTTGCATAATTTTTTCTGTAGATGTCTGTTAAACTTGTTTAAAGTATTTTTAAAAACTTCTGAAATTGTTTAAAAAACTGAGGACCTCAATTAATTTTGGACACAAGTTTGCATTCGATTATAAGGTAGCTTAAGATGCATCTAAAATGGTCTGTCTTTGAAGAAACACATTTTCATAGCTTCATATTTTACAGCAATGCTAGATTAGTGGTATTTTTCTTCAACTTGTTCTTGGTTTTGGTTTTTTTTTTCTTTTTTGATAGGACTCAGCAGAATCTCTAGTCAGGAATTTTAAGTTTGTATGCATATTCTGCAACAGACAGCAATTTTTTCTATCCGTAGGTTGCTTAATGCTGATTGCTTGAGATGCTGGAATAAATACGAAAATCATTGTTTGCAAGTAGTTCTCAATCTGTTAATGAGCAGGATTTGAATTTTTTGGAAAATCTTTTTGACACTGATTATATTTTAAAGTTGCCTGGTTTTTTCTATCGAACTAGTTATCTATTAGGTTTGAAAATTACAGCTTTGAGGGTCAGCAAGGAGGCAGAAGATTTGAATCTTGAGTTATTTCCTTTAAAATCTTGGCCAGTATTTACGGAAATTGAATATGAACAGCAGTCAGAACTTATACCAGTGAAAAAAGAAATAGCTTCTTCATTTAAGTGCCAGAAATGCTGAAGTCTCTACTAGTGAAAAAGAAGAACAGATCTGTAGGTGTCAGTCCTGGAACAGAAAATAGCACTGCTGTAATATCTCCCATACCATCTTATAAGTGTATTAATAATTAGTAGTTCATAGTCAAGAACCTGCATAAAGATATAAGCTAAAAAGTCCACAAGTGAGTCAAAACATCAATAGACTAAGAACCCTTGACAATAAGTATAAATTATGTGTCCCTGTCTATATTTTCTCTTAAATGCCAATTTGAAACTTATTTCATTACAGAAAATATGTTCTGGATTTTGTGATGTAAAGTTATTACTTCAGCTTTTAAACAGCTAGATTGAGGAAAATGGGAACACTCAACATAATTCATGCAAGTATAGTTACTTCTGCAGCAGTGTCCTCCCTTTAGCAGTTAAAGAACATCTACTGCTGTGAAGTACTCCCTTTCTTTGCTGACCTCAATTTATTTGAAGAACAGTGCTACACATGGATTGATATTACTTTAAAAGGCTTGTAAATTTTTGCAACAAAGTGTGTGGCTTATAGGAAAGTGTGCATTTCTTGCCATTGACAGTATTAGGTCAAAGTCTTGCTGTAGGTTAGGATTTTTGTTTTAATAACCAATCCTTGTGTTTTGTAGAACCAACATAATGTTAAGTGCTGCTCCTGAGTGCTTGATACTGCATTTCTGGCTAGTAAAGATGGTTTTAGCTCTTTCGTTTTAATCCTTCTTACCTTCTTTTTACTGTTTTTGGGCAAGCAACACCATTCCAAGTGAAATATGTAACCTCTCAATATTGTAATAAGGAAATATATAAATTGCACATGTTATCAGTAAAAGTACTCTAGGGAATAAAGCCTCTGAAACAGTGGTTCTTAACCTTTTTTAGGCTCGAGGTATCCCTCATTAGGCCTCAGGCACTCCTCAGGAAATGTCAGCTCTTAGTTTTCACTCCTTTTTTGACAACAGGGAAAAATAATAGAGCAATTTTTTCATTGCAAAGAACTCAGAAAGACCACAGCAGGTCTGAATGTTTTTGAAACTGGATTCCTATGTGAAATCTCTAGATTTATCTTGCGAATCATGTTTTGCCTGTCTAAAAGCACCTTTGAAAAGATCTCAAGGCATCCTGGGTACTGCAGCATCCTGGTTGAGAATCACTGCTCTGAAAGAATTTAAAAACATGCATCTGAAGTCTGTAGCAAAAACAATAATTTACTGGTTGTTTGTTTTTAAAGGGCCCTTTAAAGCTATTCCTTGCATGTAGCTTTTGCTTCCTTCCTTCCTTTATTTATTTTGCAAAAATATAAATAAATATTTTTTTTTCATTTGAGAGCTAAACGTTCAATGTACTTGCAGCAGCTGTAAGAGTGGGTACTACATTACTAGGTTTATTCTGGTAAAAACGAAGGCCTGCTGTTGGGTTTTGATGTAGTGGTCTTATTCAGTGCTTGTTGAAGTTAATGAACACGGCCGTAGTGAATATATGGCATAAAAATAAATTCCTCTTCTGACTTTGAAGGTAAGGAAAATGTAAAGAGTGCAAAAGAGTGCTTTGCCTACATTACCTAGTGATGATGTGAAGGGTGATAGCGTAGAACATTAATTGTGCCTTGTAGGTGCTTTGGAGTGGAGCCGGCAGATTAAGTAAGGCAGGCCCCTGTCTGCAAACCAGCTTGGACCCAAATCCTACAGATGTTTTTACAAGTAACTTGACTTGTTTGAGTGCCCCTCTTTAAGGCAATAGGAGTACTCATGAGCAAAGGGTTCCTAGGGTCAAGGCACAAGCTGTGGGTTGGTGAAACAGCTTTTGTTTCTGGATCTCAGTCTTTCAGTTTAAATCATTGGATTTTTTTTAGTTGGTTGGCAGTGACTAGTTTTTCTTAAGTCTGCTACAATCTTTTTAAAGTATTTTGTTTCAGATTCTGTGAAGATTTAAAAAAATGCCCCAGTTAGGTGGTATCCAAGAAACTATACTCTCTCATTTTAGCTGATCAGATTTTTTAGCTTTGACTGCTTCAACTGACCGAAGTTAAAAGGACTTTATTGACCTATCACATTGCAAAATGACTTTCTGGTCTTCTGTTATCAATAGCATGGGTTGTTTATATCTTGATTTGAGAATGATCTAATTGACTTGCCTCTGTATTTTGACTTGTACACTGCTTTCATCTTGTATTATGGTCAGTCTTGCGAGTAGATTTCTGGTTTTCATGTATTAGCTCAGTGCTGTTTGTCCAAGTACAAACACTGCAGGAAAAATATTTCCAAACAATCTTTGTGCTACAGTTTTGTATGTTACATACTACAGACGTTTTCTATTAATTACACTTAGTAAAACTTAGATGTTGGACCTAAAAAAAATACCAACTCTTTTCCTTTCTTTTAGGATTAAGGGTATGTTGATGCTCACAGTAGAATACATAATGTAGTAAACAAATCCGTGTTGGCTTATGCTCCAGAAAACTGAAGAATTGGCAAGCAATGACTAATTTTTCCTAACAGCACTAAGCTGTTAAAGAAACAGTGCTGTTTCAGTGTTCCTAATATGGTGCTAACAGCAGTGGAACATACATTTTGCATATCTGGGGGTGGGGGAAGTAAAAGTACTTTTATGAAGTACATCAGTGTCCAGTGAGTAAGTGAAAAATGTCTAGTGTTTTCTCACTTCTTTCTGTAGCTGCTGAATAGAAGTCATATTTCAGTTGAGGTTGAAAATGTGGATAGGGATTGCAGTTGCACTTTGGTTTGTAGCCTGTATCATTAGCAGGTTCAATAGTGACATCTACAGAGCTGTCAATATCCTTTTACATGCCGCCATGCATTGTGTAGCGTCGTTTTGTACTGAGCATTAACACAATCCAACTGTTCAGTCTGTGAGATCTGATGGAGTCAGATTTCAAATACATTAAAAATGTTCCACTTGTGAGTGGGTAGTACTGCCCCCCAAAATGCAGTTATATTCTTTAGCTCATTTTTACTCAAGAAAACTCACCATTTTTCTGTGGTGGAATGATGGGGTCTCTTTGTAATGTACAGGTCACCAAAGAGATTTCTAATAAATCCACTGATTCACTTGCCAACTCTTTGTTTGTATAAGATAAGCTGTATATTTGTGCCTAATGCACTGACATCTTAGTAGCCATAAGCTTGTCGGTTAATGGAGCAACACTGGCAAGTTGTACTGGACATAAAATATAGTCCTAGGCACTGATTTCTGATAGATCTCCACCTTTCACGCTTCCTTAATACTTTTGTTCAACTTGGGTTTTCCTTTGGAATAACTATCATGCAGTGATAACATGCCCCTGTGATAGCAGTTCCATTTTTGAGTGATCATCTACCCCATTTTAAGTAGCCTACTGTAGCTTACAAATGGGATGAGTAAAGACTTAATTTATGAGCTTATTATCATACCGTTTTCTCCTCTTCTTGTAATCTTAACTTTTGTTTTTAACAATGTGCTTCTTTTAGCTTTACCAACAAGGCCGCTTATGCCAGCTTGGCAGTGAATTCTGTGAACTGGAAGTTTTTGCAAAGGTGCTACGAGCTTTGGATAAAAGGTAATTGTTAGTATATTGATTAATCGCATCTAATTTTTTCATGTCTTACTGTAGTTGCACTTACTGGAAAGTGTTATGCAGAGTGTTTTTTGAACACGTACATTTGTGTATCTTTTCAGCCAGTATTTTTAAGTACACGCTTCTGTATTTAGAATCCCTGACACACTTGACTCCCAAAAGTAAATCTGGTCTTAATCCTGGCAAGCACTTCCCTATTTTCCCCAGAGTCAGAAATAGTCTAAATTTGTGCCTAATGGGGTGACTGTCAGGAGTACAGTTTTATTTTGCTTGCCTAGTTCTTGGTACTGTCTTGTACTAGACTGTAGATAGGAAAATAGTTATATCAGTAAGCAATATTTTTTTTTCAGGTTTCTCAGGTGAGTTTAAGACCTTTTATGGTATTTTGAAACAACTTCTTTAACTGATGGATGTCTTTAGATGAAAATTGAATTTCAACCCTCTCCGAAATGGGAATCTTAAACATTCAGGTCCCTTTCATCTGTAGTTGCCACACACAGCCTAACAACCCTCTCAGAAACCAGACGTGGTAAGATTACACTGCCACCACTGTCTCACTGGATTTATATCATTCAGGGCAAGGAAACCTCCTGACCCCTTTTTATAGTATGGGGAGAACATACTTGATACCTAAGGCAGTTATGCTATTGTCATTCCCTTCCCTTATAATGAAGCACCGCAGTATATTTAAAGGTTTATATGGCGTACGATAAAAAGTAATTATATCTAATTATTCTAAAGACCACTCCTAAAGGATAACTTAAATGGTGTGGGAGTGGAGGAAAAATATGTAATTAAACGAGGAAATATACAGATGTGTTGTATTAAGAGAGACATAGAGACATCAATTGGATGCAACACTGAAGACAATGTATAAAAATCACTAAGAGAAGGGGGGAAAATAAAGTAACTCATGCTGTGTGTTTAGATTTAAATTGTTTGGGTGTTCAGCTCTAATCCTTCCTGCCTGGTCTTAAACTTGGAAAATATCCCCTTTGCCCTCTAGGTCTCATGCTTAACTGATGACTGCTATAACTCTCTTCCAGCTTTGCAGAAGGGCTTTTGAATTCCAGGTCTTGGTTCTTTTATATAATCTGTAAATTTGTAGGTAAACGGGTAAAACCATTAAAAGCTCTGTTTGTGGCATTTGGTCACCCAAATGAATTCTTTGTTAGTCTTACTCAACTAAAATATGCTAGACATGAATCCTGTGGTTGCTTTGGCAACTCTCCAGTGTTGTCTTAAAGGTTCCAGGACTGCAAGTCTTTATTCTTCCCTTCCCACACTGAATGCAGAGATTACATGTGAAGGATGTAAATCGAATCAATAAGAGCATGGCAGATACACACATATGTATAATATATTTATTAAAGATCTGCCTATCTGTGCCCTGCCACTTCCAAATGTTTATCTAACAAATTAATAGGAACAATGTCTTAAGATGAGGCATTCCATCTCTCTGACAGGCCCATTCTATGCAATTATGTTTATAACCAGTTTCTTCAGGCCTTATTCATTATATCCAAAATAAGGCGTGGCTTCTTTTTAAATATTGCCTTCCTTTTGTTTTCTCTTCCTGGCCTTATTCTTGATGACTCTTCTACTGTTAGTCTTTTCCAAGGGTCTTAACAAGTTGGAAACAAGGGATCCTGTTGTATTTCACTTATACGAAAGTGGCTTTCAATTGCAGTTTAAATAATGGTTCATTTGCCTTTTTATAAATCTGTCAGAAATGTTATTTGCTGACTTAAAAAATGATACGTGTTGGTGGCTTCTGTTTCAAGGACCTTGGTATCCTATGCATATAAAATAATTACAAGCAGTGCCCTTGAAGAACTTCAGTACTGGCCTTGAATACTTCAATGTGTTGGTTTTGGGCACAATTTTCAGTATTTTAGAGTTCTGTTGGCATTTATGATTTATTCACAGTTGCATCTGTTGTACCAAAGAGCATGCTCCCTAGAATGCTTTCAAAATACATCTCTTCTTTAATAAATACATTCTGTTTTTCTTTCCTTTCAGGCATCTACTTCATCATTGTTTTCAGGCTTTGATGGATCATGGAGTAAAAGTTGCCTCCGTACTGGCCTATTCATTCAGTCGACGGTGTTCCTACATAGCAGAATCAGATTCTGCTGTGAAAGAAAAAGCAATCCAGATTGGTTTTGTTTTAGGTAATGCAATGACAATAGCTAAGACTATTTAATTATGATGCTTTAGTTTAAATTACACTTCCATGAAACAGAGAGAAGTAAATATTTTTAAATCTTTTCTTTAAAACATTATAACTGAATACGCATGGATTTGAAATGTGAGACTATATTTGAAAAGTATAGGGGTTTTTTTTATACTGTGTGTATAGCAGTATGTGCTACTTTGTCAGAATCTGACAAGAACTATAGAGTAGGTTACTTTGCAAATTACACCTTTTGATTAACAGAGAAATGTTTTGAAAGTAGGTTTACAAAAAGTCTTTACAGTACATACCTTCAGTGTATTCATTTTACACTTCTTCCCCCAGTTTTCTGTCACAACACACATGCATATGCGCACACACAAATGAACATGATTTGACCGAGAGACTCCTTCTACATCCTCTTCAAAACCTGAGCCTTGTAAAGTGGAAGCATTTACTTTTCAGGATCCATATGCTCTACGCACAGTTTTATATGTAACATTTCTTTGTAAATACCTGTATAATGTGCTTGCTGCAGGCTCCTTCCCAGATTGTTTTAGAGCTGCCTTTCTGTATCTTGATGTGGGCTTAAGATACCCACTTCTTGTTCTCCTCGGTCTGTGGTGAAACAGCTAATTAGAACAAATGTCATGAGCTAAAACTAAATTTTGTCTTTTTACAACAGCGTGTTAATGGGCAGTTTTATTTGCTCTTGAATTTCTAGGAGGATTCCTGTCAGATGCTGGCTGGTATAGTGACGCTGAAAAGGTGTTTCTTTCCTGCCTTCAATTATGCGCCCTTCACGATGAAATACTTCATTGGTTTCGTGCAGTAGAATGTTGTGTAAGGTGAGTTTGGACTTAAATTACCATTAGCCCTCTCAAGAACAGTTGGTCTTGTGTATTAGACAGTTCTGAAGACCTCCTCATATAAATGTAAGAGGTTCTTTTCATTGCATCCCTGAATTCCTTACTGGTAGACCTGTTTAAAACAAACATCAGTCTGTGGAGAACTGATGATAAAAAGCTCTGAAGACATGAGGCTTTGGACTTGTAATGCCTATTTGTTGATCTGGTTCTTACAATAAGCAACAAAAGGATGAGTGTTACTTTACTTTTCCCCAGGTGACTGTAATGAACGAACTTCTATATTTGCAGGAATTTTAATACTGAAGTCCTGCAAGAGAGTCATTGGGGATATTAAATAATGTGTCACCTTTTGTGTTGAGTTGTTTTCTGTTTGTTTTACCTTCAGGTCAATAGCATGACACGCATCTATGTGTAATAGAGCCCACAAGCAAGAACCTGTGTCCAGTTCACTAGTAGTTTTCCTTTCAAGAGGCAGGGAAAAGCTAATATAAAGCTAGCAGTGGAATGTATGGACAGTGTTTCTGTGCTACAAATCTAACTATACAGTTGCACTGTTCAGGACGTAACATTTTAAAATATGATTTTTTTTAAAGAAATGTGGTTTCAGGGTACGATTGTTTGAAATTTGCTTATTTTATGTAGCGCGGCTAGTGCTACTGGGGGATGTGTGTTGCTATGAAGAACAGCTAGAAACATAATTCTTTGATTGTTCTATGTGCCATCATGTAAGAGGCACCCTTTGCCTGCAAAAATACTTCTGAAATATGCATTTTAATTTGAATGCATGCTAAGTTTCCTTGGCTTGAACTAGTGGTGGCATTTTCCCTGGTACATTTTAATAAGGTAAATTGAAGGGTACTTCTGGCAGCACTGTATTGATGCAAAAAGCATATGCAGCAGTAACTCTTAAATCTTTTACTCTAATGGGCACAGGATCTTCAATTAAGAAATCGGAGGATCATCCAGTCAGAAGTCTCTTTCATTCCCCTTTCCCCTCCTTTCACAGTGTGAGAATCCACCTCATCTCAAACAAGGAGTTCACATTATGGCTTCAGAGTACTGACGGATCATAGTTTCAAAGGATTAGCCCCTATTTTTCAGTACCCTACATTCAGTTTCACTTTGCTTTATTGTGTATTTTTATTTCCTTCTCTAGCTTGTCCTCTTTATTTGCTAGGTTTTCTTAGTCACTGTCAAAATATATTATCCCTTTCGTAGTAGTGAATTTCCAGGAGGAAGAGAAGTTTATCTTCCAGGAACTCATTGCATGTTCCAGAACGTAGGCCTTTGCAGTTGCGGATGGACAGCTGTCTCTTTCTGTCATTTGATGGATAAAGAAATAGTTCTGCCCTCTAGGCTTAGCATATGAGGCACTGAAGAAACACTGGTTTACATTTACAGAAAACGTTTTTTGTTTTAAATAGATACCAGGAACTGGGATTGTTAGCATAGTGAGAAAAGGTTTCAGCACTGCTGCGCTAGTCTGCATCTGGCAGCACTGTCTCCTGAGGCGACTGTTAATCCTACAGATCAAAACCTATCAAAGTTAGCATGGGGCAGGCATGTCAGACGTGCTTGTTACCCTGGGCCTGATCTAGATGGCAGGGTTCTTTGCAGGCTAGATCCAAACCCGTCTCTGGCAGTAGAACAAGTGGCACTGTTGGTTCATGGAGCCATCCCTGCTTAAATGTGGGCCACTGCCAAAACGTGTCCCCCCAGCAGGGCTTCATACCTTAGATTTTGGTGGCAGGCCCCACCCTGAATTTCTGCCCCTCCAGGAGCTCGGCCCTATCTTTGATACCCTTGGCATAGGGCATTAAGAGTAAATCTTGAGTTTTTGATCTTATGTGTATCTGACTTGAGTTCCAGAGACTATCTTGCTGCATCTGAGCCTAACTCTATGGGTACCTAAGGATTAGCAACTCTTGAGCAGTTATTTCAAGATAACTGTTAAAGTCTCACAGAATAAGTCAGTGTGAAAACTGCTGCTTTCCTTCTCCCATTTAGATAATTTATTTGGACTTTACTATTGCCTCCTTTATTGTTCTTGAATACATCCTACAGCCTTGAAGCTAGTTGCATCTTCTAGTCATTCAGAGGTACTGCAGGAAAAACCCTTCTTGCGTCCTACTGGCATGGAGAGTGAGGGTTTAGATCTTGCATTCTTGTTCTGGGATAGTAAAGATTACTATCAATAACACACTGTGTGCCTGGAGGCACCAATATGCTATCAAGGTCATACTTCATGCAAATCTTGTATCAAGACTAAACAATATTATCATCCCTACCCTTCTAGATAGGCGTTTTTTCTTTCTCACTAATATTGTTTCAGTTGCAGCAAGGCTGTAGTGAAAGCCTTCTGTACAATAACTTGTTTGTTTTGTTTGACACTTAGAATACCATTTAAAATAAAGACTGGATGCTGGCATGCACTTGTAGAGCAAACCAGGGAGCATCAGATGCAGGAATGCAAAGAGAATCCACTGTCGTTTTTTGTTTCTATGTTTGTCTTGCTTAGAGTTGTATTCGTGTTGGGCAGAATGTGTTTTATTAAGGGTACAAAAAAGAAAACCACCCCGAGTATGACTGAGGGATTAAATGTTTAACATGCTTGAACCAGTAACCCTTCTTGTTTAAGTCACAGCAAGGTGTGAAATGCATTGGATTCAAAACAGGTGTCGTTTTGCGGAGTGGCAGTAACCCAGTTCCAGTGTAATTTAGATGATCAGATTATAGATGTGTCATAACCCTGTAGATTGGAGCAGATTATGCAAAGTCGTTTTTAAAAGTTTCAAGACTTCTCTCATTTTTTCCTAAGGTTGCTGCATGTTCGAAATGGCAATTGTAAATACCACCTGGGAGAAGAAACATTCAAACTAGCGCAGTCTTACATGGACAAACTTGCAAAACATGGTCAACAAGCAAACAAAGCAGCGCTCTATGGGGAACTGTGTGCACTACTCTTTGCAAAGAGCCATTATGATGAGGTGAGTGGGGCTGGTTTGTTTTCAGAGGACTTCTGATAAACCCTATTATGACTCCCTAATACAGGCTCAGTAGGTAGCTTGGATTTCTTCTGGCAAAGGTTGAGTCTCAGATTTACATTACTTGGTACCAACTGAAAAACATTTGGCTTGAGGAGTTTGTTTCTGTTTTCCATTGGAGAAAACTTTATATACCGTTAAAATAGCATGTGGTACTAGTATGTCGTGGTGGGAACTGACATTCTTTACCTGTAAGCTGTTATTTAGTTGGTGCAAACCACAAGGAGCCTTATTACTTTCCGAACAAAACTCCCATTAATTTTTAATGGAGTCTTGAATGGACTACAGCTGGGCTGTAGTACCCACAAGTACTGGTAATGTGCAGAAAACTATTAAAAAAATTGCCTTCCTGGGATCTGACTGCCAAATCCACAATTGCCTGTAACTTCTTAAAATATACGTCACAGTAATTATGCAAATAATTATATAGCAAGAAGTAGTCTGTGACCTTGTAATTGGGAAACACAGAACAAAACTAGTGTTTCATTCAGCCATTTTCTGCAAAATCTGATTTTAGCAAACCTGTTAAGCTATGAGTTTATTTCGCTCCAAAATAGTCTAATACTGACTAAAAGACCTTAGTAATTTGGGGCCTGGAAACATAAGAAACTGATGTTGCCAAAGACAAAAAGAAGTTAATCCGTTATAAAGTTACTGAAGTGTCTGTTAGAATAATATTAGCAAGTATTTAACAATTAATTTTTTATCTTATGAGTTGAAACTTTAGACAGCTCTTCAGGACTTGTGTTCTGAATAAATTTAATTCAAGGTAATTAAGTAGAAATGGGTAGCTGGTCTCTCTAAGCAGAACTCAGTCATCTTTACCTTTTTCTTTTTTGAAGAAAGGTAGAGCATTTACCTGTTGGAGAAATGAACAGGGCCATGATACTGGGTGTAGGACTGCATGGTCTTCAAGAGTCCCGAGTCTTTTTCCTAGCTGTCACTGACTTTCTGAACAAATCAATCTAGTTGCTTCATTTGATTGCCATCTCTCTCTCTCTTTCCAGCTGTGAACTTAAGAAGAATCAAATAATAAGGCTTGAATGAGATTTAGCAATTTAATTTTTAAGCCAAAAAGCGATCCCTAAACAAAGAATTTTTATTATGAGAGACGAATAGTATTTTCTTAAGGTTTCCGTATGATTGAATTCAAAGGTAATGATATTTCATACAAGCTTTTTGTTTTACAGGCTTACAAGTGGTGTATAGAAGCTATGAAGGAAATCACAGTTGGCTTGCCTGTAAAAGTAGTGGTGGATGTTTTAAGACAAGCTTCAAAGGTGAATGAAAAGTTTGCTGATAATTTGCAAAGAAAATCTATAAAAGTTAGTCTGTTAATGTACTGTAAACCATGTAGAATCTTAGGTTAGCGTGTTCCAGTTCATAGTATTATCAAATCTTGTTTGCCGGTTTACTTTGCCACCATCAGTTTTATACTTAAAACGAATAACCTGAATTTTTGACCAGAGAAGACATGTCTCTTAGAAATTTAAAGCTTTTTTTTCTCTTTTTCTGAAATGGAGTTGCAGTTCTTTGAAAGAACAACAATCTCTGCCACACAGTAGACATTTTGCTTGTACCCCCTATCTAATTACAGATTAGGTAGAGAATAGCTTTGCATTTTTTGTGGATTATTTATATTACTGTAAAATGTTAGTTAATATTATATCTGGGAGGATTTTTTTCAGGAATTAAAAAATGGTTTAGTAATTGCACTGAAATTTTGAAACTGAACACCCTAGTTGGTCATTAAGTCAATCCGTAGAACAGAGATGCTTTGAAAATGCCTGCTCTCACATATACTGTTTCCTGTCTACTCTAGGCTTGTGTTGTAAAACGTGAATTTAAGAAAGCAGAGCAATTAATAAAGCATGCAGTGTATCTAGCCAGGTACGTAGCATCGTTACAATATCGTTCTAAACTGTCTTGCTTATTTCTGGTTATAATACAGTTATGTCTTTACAGGGAGCATTTTGGAGCCAAACACCCAAAATATTCCGACACATTACTAGACTATGGGTTTTACTTGCTGAATGTAGATAATATATGCCAGTCTGTTGCAATTTATCAGGTATGTTGCCGTCGAAATGTGTGTTCCATTTCTAACAGATAATGTCTCAAGTGCTTGTACTCGTTTCTGTAATTGCAAATTGGAATGAATGGCTGAAGGTGGGTGGTTGGGGTGGTTTTTAAATGATTGTAATTTTTTAATCAAAATATTGTCGTTAAGTATTTGTTTTTACATTAGCAATGTAGCCATGTATATCTTTTCTTCAGCTTGCTAATAGATTGAACTAAAAGTCTGATAAAACTGAGATGGGATTGTATTAATCATAGCATATCTGGTAATATTTGTACATGCTCCAGTAATTAAAGTCAAACTTGGAACTTTTTCTAAGGTGCAGGAGTGCAGTTAGATATGTGGGGTCTTTCAAGTTGGTTTAGTTAAACTAATTTTGGAGATTAGCTAAACACTGTTATGTATTTTGGTTTAACGGTGACTGGCTTTTTAAGCTTAATGTGATGGAAAAACAAGTTCAGTCATTTGAGGCAAGCTGGCACACCATTCTTAAAACAGAGACTGTTTTGTGGGTTCTCTTTGAGATATTTGCTAATTTTTAGAAATTTGCATGCTTTTTTTTAAATGATCTTTCAGAGGCATTTGCATTGTTGCCTTAAAAATGGATGATAAACTTCTCAGATGTCCATTTGTGCATACCTTTAAATAGCAAAGTATCCTGTTTTGTAGACTTGAATGTATATACTTTTAAGGGAGCATTTGTTTTGCAAAATGACAGCTTCCTAGGTAGTGTTGTTTAGCAAAACAAAATTTAATTCCCACTTCTGTTACAAACTTTCACTACACGGGGGGAATAATATATGAACATACACTTTCCTTCCAGAGCCAGTAGTTCTTTAGATTATAGAAAAAACACGGAAATTCAGGAAGAGTTTACAAGGCAACTGATAAGCCTTTTGTTGTGACTATTTTCAGACAGCTCTTGATATCCGACAGTCAGTGTTTGGAGGAAAAAACATCCATGTAGCCACAGCCCATGAAGATTTAGCTTATTCTTCTTATGTGCACCAGTATAGCTCTGGAAAATTTGACAATGCGCTGTAAGTACAATTGTGGATACATACTGAAAAAAACGTTGGGAGCAAATTTCGTGCTGTACATAGGGCAAAGTGTACTTCATAAGTTATACATGTTACAAATCATTTTCACGATAGAATTTAAATTGGTCCCTTAATTTTAGAGACTTCTTATTTTAGAATTATTTTGTTTGGTTTACTAATTTAAAGTATTTGACTTAACTTTTCAGAAGTCAAAATTCAATAAAAATATGTGGTTTTGAACTTTTCAGATTCCATGCTGAACGTGCTATTGGCATTATCACCCACATTCTCCCTGAAGATCATCTTCTTTTGGCCTCTTCCAAGAGAGTTAAAGGTAGCACTCAGTTACAGTACTGAAGCATTATTCATTTAACACTTTATTGATGGAAGTCCATTCAGTTGTATTACTTCTAGTAAGGAACAGAAATAAAATACAAGTCATTTTTCCCACTCTCAGCTAACCATTCTCTTTATGGATTAGGCTATAAAAGCTGTACTTTAAAGATCCTTTATAAGTAGTGAAGATGGAGATAACTTTAATGATTTCACTTTTGTTTATAAACACAAAGCTTGTCTTTGAATGTTATATTGTTCAGTGCCATTGGATTTAAAGGAAGTTACCAGCTGGGTTGATCAGTTTGCACATTGCTCTTCTGCGGCAGTCAGAGTCAGTAGTTTGATTTCTCTCTTTCTGGGTTGACTGCTATGGATGATTGTCCTTAGCCTTTCCCTAGAAATCAGTATGTAGTTGTAGGACACTCATTCTCCAACTATGGTATGCGTGTCACAGGTGATGCACGAGTACAAGAAGGCACGTTTTTTTTATCTCGGCGGTGAAGCGACTGTTGAGGCAGGGTTGTTTCTTGTGTGATGCAGTCAAATTCAAGGTTTTTTATCGGTTTTTATAAGAGTTTCTTTTCACCACTTACAACATTATGGGTGAAGACTTTGCAATCGAAGTGTTGGGGGAGATAAATACCTTTAGTCTTTCTTTGTCTGACCTGATAATGAAATTGTTAGATTTATAGTGAAGGCAAATGATACACATACTCAGAATAATCTGGCCAGTATTTTACTCCTAAATAAGAAGCAGAAACATAACCAGCACTCCAGAGGTAGCTGCTGGATAACACTTGACCACTTTATGGTGGAGAAGGCGGCTTATTTTCAGCAGTTGGTTACCCGAGATTAAATTGACCAGACGTGCAGCTCTGCGGCATGTTCCACTTAGTAACTACGCACAATAGTTATTACGTTATTTTCAATGGGTAACGTTGCCCTCAATTTGGTAGATTTACTGCGTGGTAGGCTTAGGCACAGTATATCCATTCCACTTTTTACTGTGTAGCAAAATCAGTTTGTTTATATGACAGATGTAGTGTGTTTCTATGCTCTAGGAAGCTGTACCTAATGTTCCTTAAGCATGAAGGATAGTGTAGCCTGACCCAAGCCCTTTGAAGGGGTCGGAAACCATTTAGGAAGATTATATCGCACAGCTCTCGTGCTTGTGAAATGCTATTATATACTTCCCTCCTTTTCTATGAATCGATAAAAGAGAAATGTAACTGTTAACTGTAACTGCCTCTTTTTTTTATTTTTCTTTGAAGTCTTTCTTCCTTTGCAGTTTTGTACCTGTCCACTTTTCCAGGTTTTCTGTCCTCTTGGACACTTAAATTTGCTTATTACTAAATGATAACTAACTAGTTTAAGATTCTTCATAGAATTGGCCTATAGCATTAATTTTCTTGCATTTTAGCAGTTGAAGAAAGGCTAAAAACGAGAGCTCTGTGTACAGTATTTTGAATATTTTTGTGTGAACATGGAAAGAGAGGTTGGATTTTGTACCTCTTTAATGAAAACAGTTCAGAGAGCAAAACCTGATTGGAAGTAACAGAATCCGATAACATTATTTATCTTTAGTTCACATCTCTTTGCATCGTTAATGTGATTTTTGTCTCTTCCATGTTCAGCACTTATCCTGGAAGAGATTGCAATAGACTGTCACAATAAGGAAACTGAGCAAAGATTACTTCAGGAAGCTCATGATTTGCATCTATCTTCACTCCAGTTAGCTAAAAAAGCCTTTGGGGAATTTAATGTACAGACAGCAAAACACTATGGCAACCTTGGCAGACTTTATCAGTCCATGAGAAAATTTAAGGTAAGTTCAAAACGCTTCTGATTGCTGAAGAATGTCAGTTTGTTACTACATTTTGAAAAATCGCATCCATAGCTCTAAAAGCAACACAGCCTCTTATTCCATCGTAAGTATTGATAAGAATTAACAGCCTCTTCAAAGCCTTCTCAAGTTTTTAAACTGACTGTACCCACAGGTGCTCCCTTGTAAGGAATTTTACTTAGTGTTTTACTACTCCAAAGCACTTTACAGATATTAACAAGTTGGTTCCCCAGTACCCTGAGGAGGTAGGTTGCGACTATCCCCACTTCAAAGATCGGAAAACAGCCTTTCAGAACCCAGAGAACCAGATTTCCCATTTTGTGCCTATGTCACTAGGCTCTTTTGCCTGTTAAGCCCGTAATTGAATGTTACAGGATCTTTCCAACTAATGTGATTAAGCGTTCAATTGTGTCGCTATTCATTTTTCATGTATAAGAATCTTCCCTGCCTCCTTCTCCCCCCCCCCCCCCCCCCCCCTTTGTCTTTCTCTTTCCCCTTCTCCTCCACTTTTCTCTTTGATGGAAGTGAGTAACGTCTCTTCTGCGTTTTTTATGTTCTGGGTCTTTCAGGAAGCTGAAGAAATGCACATCAAAGCAATTCAAATTAAGGAGCAGCTCCTTGGTCAAGAAGACTATGAAGTTGCCCTGTCAGTGGGACACCTAGCTTCTCTCTATAACTACGACATGAATCAATATGAAAATGCCGAAAAGCTTTATCTGAGATCAATAGCAATTGGTGTGTAATTTTAAAAGCAAATAACTATTGAGCAATGGTGATATGTACAGTAAAACAAAGGTCTTTTTTGAAAGGTTTTATAGAATGCAAGCCTTTTGCATAACTAACTTGTGGATTCACTCTAAATATGATTACGGTACTTTAGAAGCACATCAGTAACTTAAGTTTCAACTGATTGAACAAACCTAGGACTGTGTCCACTTAGGAAGTCCAGCACCTACCTTTGGATTAACTTTGGGGGTAGAAGTCCAGCACCTACCTTTGGATTAACTTTATCTAGGGGTTCATTATGTCAAAGATTTGAAGCATAATAAGAAAATTTCAGGGGAATAAAAAATTGATATGGTTGGTGATTTCTTTGTAATCTGTTTGAAATCCTCCCCTTCCTGCTCATCCACTCATTGCAATGAATATTGTCCAAAGAAACTCTCATTTCATAACATTAGAGTTTTAGCATGATTTCCACAGAGGACAGTTAGTGCTCATAATTCATAAGAGGGAAGTACAGTGGGTTAAAGTGCCAATTCTGCCCCAACCCCGCTTCACAATTTGAGTTTCGGTTGCAAGTGGGACTCATAGGAGGCACCTGTCCTGTTTTAATTCCTATTAGAACTTTATGCATTATAAATACTCCTGTACAGCTGGTTGTCTGTGGTCAGAAGTTAAGTACCAGGAGCAATAAAGGAAAGGATCTGAAATGCACTGAAGAGTAGTATCAAGAAAACTAGCTTATAATTCTCCCGGATGTTAGTGCTGTTGTTAACTGCTGCTGGCAAAAGGGGATTGTACGTGTTCTGTCTTAAATTCTTTTTTTGTTTTGCATTTCTTTAGGGAAGAAGCTTTTTGGCGAAGGTTACAGTGGACTAGAATATGATTATAGAGGTCTCATTAAACTGTACAATTCCATTGGCAACTATGAGAAAGTTTTCGAATACCACAATATTTTGGCCAATTGGAACCGATTGCGAGATCGGCAGTTCTCAGTTACAGATGCTCTGGAGGATGTAAGCACCAGCCCTCAATCCACTGAAGAAGTGGTCCAGTCTTTTCTGATGTCTCAGAATGTTGATGGACAGAATAGCTAAGGAACTTGGTCAATTAACCAATTACTTCTTCTTTTTTTTCCCCCAAACTACAGGGGAAAGTCATACTGTGAAATCTAAACCATGTAGTTTTTCTGGGGGCTGGAATTTGCATTGAAACACTGGTCCAGTCCACTGAAGAGTGCCCATACGGATGAATGTGTGTTTAAATTCTTATCAGCATGTGTATGGCATGTCTAGTTCGGCTCCCATTTTGAACTTGGTATTCCAGAAACCCGTCTCTCTTCTTTTTTCCAAAAGGCTACTTTGCAGAAAGGCTGCAGGAAAACATTAAATAAAACTGTTTGAGCCCAAAAGAGTTGCATTCTTGTTATGAATGCACAGTTTCAACGAGAACATTCTTCTAACAAGCAGAAGTAATAAATACTATATTGTATAAATGGTATGAAAAAGATCTTTCTCCTGTGTGCATTGTAGCAAAATTAATGGCAAATATTAGGGTAAAGGAGAATGCCCTAGCTTTGTTAGCTGTCTCATGAAGAAAAAATGGCAAAGAACCACTCCAGAACGCAACGTTTTTTATGAACCACAAAAGATTGTTAAAGAAGTGACACCGTTTGTTGTTTTAAAGATCTGAACTGGACCAGTGTTCGTTTGAGTGGGACGATCCAGTAGACCAGCATTCTTAGTTTCCTATGGTACAATACAAGAACTATAGTTTCCAAAACAGGACCAGGAGAATCAAAAGTGGACCAGTCTATCTAGAAAAGTTTTTTGGACCAGTGGCTTTAATTTAATATTTCTGCCCCTGCATTCACTTTTACCAGTAGAATTATTTCATTTAGATGTATGATCAGTGATAATGCAAAATTATATTCATGTAATAGATACAAAACTAGGAGGTGAACGTTCCTTAGCAGTTGCGATGGCATGTCTTTAACTAGTAAGCTTATTCAGATATCTAAAATGTCAATGCCACAAGCAGAAACTAGAAATGCTTAACTATTCGCATCAGCCTTTTTCTTTTTTCAAATGGGCTTACTTTAATAATTGAGGCAGTAACTTGTTTATACCGGTTAATAGTTTTGTATTACAGTCCAATTCAGCTTTTGTTTCTGGAAATCACAACTTATTGTACAGTTTGCAGGGGTCAGTGGAAAATGCCAAAAAAGCACAAAAGGTCTCTTCTTTTTTTTTTTGTGATGCTTCATTTCTACATTAAACAGTAGTGCAACCGGAAACCGATTCTTCTACATTAATTTAAGATGCATCAGGCAGATGTAAAGTTCCCTTAACGACGCCTATTTCACTAGCTTGTCTTAATTTTTGTTCTGTTTTTGTTTGTCTCTCTTTTTTTAATTGAACCAAGTCTGTTTTAATGTTGAGGTAATGCTCAAAATTTTGAAAAATCAATGTAGCATAGCAAACTAGAAATAAGTCATTGCAGTTACCTCAATTCTTATTATAGTGGTACAAGCAGTGCCTCTATAGTTGGGAGTCCATCAGTTTTTTTCCCCCCTATTTTCAGGGGTTTATAACTTGGCCGCGAAAATTCAGCCCCAAGCTGAAGCTTGGCAAAGAAGATTCCTACACTACTTGGAATTAATTTTATTTGTTATGAAACTGGGGAAGGGATGGGGTGGAAATTTATTTGACTGACTGTCTCCAAGTTATGAGTGCAGAAAGCAAAAACTAGTTATTACAGACACTACTTAGAACTCACAAGTGTATTAACGGCTTCTTTTTCTTTTTTTTTTTTTTTTAAATGAAATATTGCAGGCCAATAGTTTTTATACTAGTGCCTTCAAGTATTTTTGAGGGGAGAATTACACCAAGTTAAAATGAGATTTAATTTGCAAATGTGGTTTCAGCACTTGTATACAGGATGGATTATTTGTATCAGTGGGATAACCTATACTGTTAAAATTTTAATAGCTATTAAGGATGTATTGCAGGCTGTCAAAACTCAGTTCAGCTTTTTCTAATTTATATGTAAACTTAAACTCTAGTTTTTGTATAGCAGTTTCTTTGCTCATGTGAAAGTTTTATTTTACATGTCCCTAAATAAGATTGCAACACTTGCCGTGTAAACTACCTAAGTCCCTAAACATGTTTACTCTACAGGACTAACGATAGTCTATCAGATAAATAATGTGTGTTAAAAGCTCATACATCTTATGAGAACTCCTGTTTCTTTTAAACTTAAAGGCATTTTAAACTTGTTTAAAATTTAAATTAAGGGTATTGTTTTAATATCAGATTTTCAGGGGAGAACCTTAAACATAGATGTTCTAAACATACATTGTGATTTGATATATTGCAGAAGTACCTGAAAGCCTCAAACTAATACGTTTATATTGTCTGAAGATGCTGTATGCTCTGGTTTCCTATTCTTGGGTTTTACTTGTCACTTTTAAGAGGAATCTCAAAGTTCTCAAGGTTTTATTTATTTTTTAACTTACAATAGTGGTAAGTGATATCTGTGCTCGCTTCTGCTTCCAAGTTTGTATTACCTATGGTCAGCAATATAGCTTCTAAAAATACAGCTTCATATGCTAGTTTTTCCTCCTTTTCCCCGACTAGCTTGCATTGCTTTAAATAACCTTGGTACTTGCCAACTGTATTTCAGCCAGTGCAATATACATTAAGCTCTCTTCACCGTTGCTCAAACAAAGTTGATTCATCAGCACATGTTATATTCTGTGGTGCATTTGGATTTTTATCTAGAGTGAGCTGAGGCCCTACAAGTCACCTAGAGTTTTATTTTTGTGACAGCAGAAATGTACCAAGAGAAACATGACTTTCAGCATACGTGCACCCCCTCTCCTCCCAGTGAAGCAGATAAGACTACACTTGCATGTTCACTCTGTTGAGCTTTGACGGACTGTCTGGTTGCATCTCACAGCATTGACCTAGCAGCTCTGCAACTCCGTGGTGATGTCAAAGCATATTACCTTTAGAACAGAGCAGCTTTGGCTGTCTGCCGTGTGCGTCTTAATGTTGGAGACTTATAAAACAATTGCGGTGCCTGCTCTCTGTGCTACGATTTGTGTAATCCTGACTCGCTGTCATTGCTGGAGAGGCGGTCAAGCTTTCCTGGCCCTTTTCTTTTTCTTTCAGGATCTCTCCTGAATTGGCCTTTTTCATCATGTGACTACAGAATTGATATCCTGTGTTGTTTGCAGACCTGTTGTATTCCACATACAAAAGCTTGGTTTTAGCCACCTTACTCCTGCTTTTTTGGTGCTGTTGCCTATTGCTGTGTGCTGTCGAACACACACAAAGGAGGAGGGATTCTCAAAACTCTTGGATCCTAAAAATGGAAATCTAATGAAATTGGGGTATCTTCCAAATAAAGGAATTTAACTGTCCTCTACCTATTCTCTGAAGAAGTCGCCGAGGCATTAGATAGCACTTCCATCTATTTCCTTTACCCTTAGTCCTAGGGAGTTGATCATACATTTGTCTTCGTCCTCTTGAAAACGGTAATTATTTTTCTTGTGGCTGCATGTTGAGCATTTGCAGTTTGTGAGTGCATGTCCTTCCTGTTGCTCAAGAAACCAACCATCTGGCATGTTAGCTAGCGGCAGGTACATATACAACGTACACCCACCAGTACCTCAAAGAATCAAGGCGGGAAAAATAACCTTGAGAAACTTTGGGAATTCCTGCATAGTTTTAAGCTTGAAATTGATTTGAGAGTGGGAATCCAGTGAAATGCATCTTCAGAGAACAAAATTTGCAGGTAAGTAACTTAACCACATACCAAATTCCTTTGAAATTCAGGAGTGTCCAGGGAAAACTTCCAGCTTTTGCTGCTAAATTTTCTCATCTTTGGTTGTACGTTTAAACCCTTCGTTTTTATTTTAATGTACACTTTTGTTTTGTGGATCCGTTTTGCTTGCATTTTCTAGTTTACAAATTGCAGCATTTGCATAAAGAGGTGATGTTCAGGGTTTCTCCATTCTTGGTTTCATTGTTCTTCAGATCCAGGAACTACTTTGCTTATGGTAGTAGAAGAAGCTTCTGTGGTATGGGAGAAACAAATGCAAATTATGAATTGAAAAGGGTGGGGGCAGTCACAAAAAGATGTTTAAAATACATCTATGCCTCTTAGTGAAAGAACTAGCAGCTATTTGGTTTCAAAAGGTTGGTCACTTACTGTGTGATTCTTACTTGCAACCAACAAGTGTCTGCCTCTGTTTCATAGAAATCCTTACATGCACTTATTACTTTGTATAGAAACCATTTGTTTATTTTTTTTGCACACAAGTGTTTTGTTAAATAATTTTGAAAGGTGTTTTATTGCTGAACTCTAACTTATTAGGAAAATAACATCCTTTTCATCGCTTTAAAAATGAAGTTGTTTTTTTTAATGCTGTGGTCTAAAATTTGGTGCCATTGCGCTGCTTCTCATGGTACAAAAATGCACATTTTATTTCACTTCCTTTTTCTAGCTGTACATACTGACAGAGTACAAAAAAAGGAAAACTCATCGTGCCTAAAACATGATTGAAGTTGTCGGCAAAAACTTTACTTGATTAAAAATGGATTGGATTTTACAGCATGGTAGGAAATAGCTGGCTGGATATTGCTCTTTGCAGTCTTAAAAAGAAAAAAGTTCCTTCCCCATGTTCCTGTGCTGAACTATTATTGTCTTCAAAACTTTGCTGTTACCTGGAAAAAGTGTCAGTCAAGTGCTAAATTCCAATCTAAATATTTTGGTTACTATGTATATTTGCAAGCTTGACACACACGGCCTGTTGCACACTTCATGTCTTGGCCTTTTAAAAATTCTTGCTTGTGGTGGAGAGGAAATTTTTTTTTTTTTTTAAATCTGGAAATCTGTACTAAATACATACTTTTGGCAGCGCTGGTAATGCTTTTGTCTCCAAATCTCAGGAATGTTTTAGGCAATGTAAAAGGTTTCCCTTCAATGATAACAAGGTGCGTACTCTAGGGTCTTGTTAACAATATTTCATTGCAATCCTAGGTATCTATAGCATGAGTGGCCTTAGTGAGTTTGTTGAAGTGCACATTTTTTTTTTTTTTCAAAAGTAAATTTTAAGATGAAAAATATATACTATATAAATATATAGAGATATCTAGAAACTTGGTTTGTGGTGCACAAGTTAAGTGTTGGATCACTAAATAACTGTTGCAGGTACCATATGTGTAACACTTTTTTCTTTTTCTGTATATTCCTTTATGGGAAGCAATGTTGCCATGGTAACTAAAACTTTACAATTTATTTCTTACTTTGATGTGAATGGACTCTACATTTTATTGAATATTACCAGGTTCAGTACTATTTTTATACATTATTGAACTACAGGGGATTGTAATTTAATAACATTCTAAGATGTTGCTTGAACTGTTTAAAGCAAATTACTAAAACAAAAACAAAAAAAACCCCTTAAAACCTGAATCCCCACTTGTAGTGCCACCGTGATTTATATGAGCGTATCTTGATCATTACTACATTTTTGAAGACCATTCTATTTGTTGTGTCAAGAATAATCTTTCATATCCTACTCCGCACAGACTGCAGTGCCCAACATTATTTGTAACCATCAAACCATACTGAGTATGTTTGTAACCAGCATTGTGATATTCTGTAACTGTATTGCTAAAACGAACTATTGATCTAATAAATATAGTGTTCCTGCACTTGTTTTATGTGCCTTGAATTGAGTTAAAATTGTGCTCTGTGCAAAGCATTTTGTTCTTCCCTCCGTACCCCATAAGAACTTCTTGAATTCATTATTGATGGACTGCACATTTTTCATGCAGCTTTCTCAGAACAAGACCTAAAGTTCCCATTGAATAAATGTGCAGTACCATTCTGTGATATTTAGCCAACAGGTAACTCTCGTGCATGTTGCTTCTTCAGAAGGTAACAGGAATATTCACTTGGTATTAATGAGTGTGTAAATCATAAATGAAGGCATGCTAAGGGTCTGATCCCATATGAAAATGTAGTGGTAACTCTCATAAGGAGTTTAAATGCTCATGGATGTTGAGTGCATAGATTTTGTTTGGCTTTGTATGTGTTATCTCGCTTTGCTTGGTAAGTGCAAGGCCCAATTATAGTTTTCTTGTCAAACAAAGTTGTATGTGGGATTTTTGGGGGGCGTTGTTTGCTTTCTAAGGAAGATGCCTTTCCTTTTTGTAAAGATGAAGGGTAGGAAATGCTGTGATACGGCAGCTCTGTTAACTTACATATGGGGTTTAATGTTCCATAGATTACAGGGACAGGAGAGGCATTGTGTGTCATGACGGGTTTTGCACCTCTTCTTGTACAAGTTTATGTAACTTAATTTCAGCTCTGAAACTCTCAAAGCTACCTTTTTAAGTTGAGTCTACTTCCTTCTCTGTCATTTCTGCTGGGAAAACCATGTTGAATGAGGTCCCAGTTCAGCTCCCTTCAACAAGCTGATTATTCTATATCACTGGTAGATCAAATGGTCCTCCAAGTTTTTTGCTCCTAGCTGGTGACTTCAATTTTATAGTACTGTGGTGCCCTCCACAACATATATTTGTGAAAACTAGATATGATGATTTTCTTTTTACTTGTACATCAGGTAGTTAGAATGGTAGACAAGCTGGAGATTGACCTTAATTCAGGGAATTATTGTATATGATTTTATAGCAACGCTTTTCAACCCGTGGGTCGTGACTCAAATGTGGGTTGCAGGAATATATGAAAGGGTCATGAAAAAACTTTAAAAATGGATTATTGTTTAAAGGAGAAAAATGTGGGAAACCGTGGCTTTTCCCGTGCAGGCTGGCAGAGTTCCAGCTTGTGAGGGGCTGTTTGGGGTCCTTCCTGCCCCACACGCTGGGGGCTGGAGGCAGCAGGTTGGGAGTGAGGGGCAGTGGGTCGGGACTGGCCATTGATGTTTACAGCTGGGTCCTGGTACAAAAAAGGTCGGGAACCGCTGGGCTACGGTGAAGGCTGCAGACTTCCATTGGGCTGGGTCCTATTAGGAGCAAAGCCGGAGGTCCCTGCCTAAACCATCTTGTCCCTCCGCTCAGGGACAGACTGATGCCACATTTGGGGTCAGAAAGGAATTTTACTCCATGGTCAGATTGGTAGGGACTGGGGGCATTTGTCTTAATCTGCAGTGGGTGGCATAGCCCTCTGCCTGGGACCTACAAAGGTTTATAGAAGAAGTTGGCTGCTATGGTTCCCCAGGTTTACGTGTGGCAGGTTCAGGCATTAGGGCCTGTGTTGTGTCAGGGTGGACAGTAGTTTGATGTAGAGTTTAGATAATGGTTTGGGTAGGGATGATTCAGCCTGAGGCAGGGGTTAGACTAGGATTGGATTAATTTTGTGTTCTAGGGTTTCAGTGTTTGAGACGGATGATGCACTTCCAAGGTGGATCAAAAAGAGATTTTGTTTTTAAAACTTGCATCTGTATTTCGGTAGCAGAGTTAGAATCCGGTAGCCGCTGTTCATGTACAGGGAGACGGGCTCTGCTCTGAAGAGCTTACACAATTGTCTTAGCTCTTTCACGGACTTGCCAGGACAGCTTCTGCAAGTCCTGTTCATCTCTGCATGTCTTGCAATCCCCTTTGTGTCACTGGGATCTCCTGGGCTGAAGGGGAATCCAAGTTTTAACTTTTTTGTAATGTTAGTATAGCTTTTTGAGATGAATGAATGATGTAAACTCCATTAATCATTTATTTGACTGCATTAAACATATTTTCCCAATTCCTTCTGCTTTCTCCGAGGAAAGGTTGACATTTTGGAAGGATTATAAAAGCATAGCCAGCAGCTGAAGATTTAGTGAAGAGGAAGCTACTGGCATACATAGGTAGGCAGGAAGAAACAACTAAAAGGCTGATTGGGTGGATAAGGCTATTTTGTTGATCATACTATAGACTATGAGGAGTTTACGCTGTTATGGTGTTTGGCTGGCTTCTAACAAATGTCCCTGCTCTTCCTGGGCAGAACAGCTGTGCCAAACACCGTGCAGCAATAACGTAATGCTCTTGTGGATGCAGGGTGCCACAGCTGGTATGTGGACAAGATCTGTCTATGATCGACTTCTCCAAAGCAAGGTTGAGTTAAAGTTATAAGGGCCAGGAAATATGAAGGGAGCCTGTACTTTCATTAACTGCCTGTATGCGTATACAGGTATTTTGCAGATAAAAATGGTTCTTGGGCTATTATTTCTATACTTCTCACTTATTCATTCATACACTAAAATGTACTTTAAAGGGAAATAGCAAGAAGAGCAATTTGGAGAAATATGCTCCTTCCATCTAACATGTATAAATATCTAAGATGGATACTGTTCATGGATACATGTTGGGAATACAAATCTCTGAATTCTTGGTTGGCCACCAGATGTCACTGCCGTGATGCTACATCCTGCAGAAACGGTTATTTATTTGAATTAACATTACCCAAAAGTAACAAGAATATTGCAGCCTTTTTGCCTGACTTCATACATTCCTGTGATAGCTTACCTGTAAATATAAAACTACCCTTAGGTTCTGCTTGCAGCTCTTTCACTCATTATACTCCATGTTGTGCATTCATATATATATATATATTTTTTTTTTTTTAATCTGTGAAACCATTTCAGTTAATGTTGAAACTATTTACAGTGTTTCCACAAATCCCTGGTGCTGATTTTTATATACAAAGAAGAGAAAGTTGAGTTGAGAAATGGATGCATCCAAGTTTAGATCTCTTGCAGTTGTCCAGCTGTTTTTAATACTATCAGTGTTGGCCAACTCCCCAAAACCTGAAGAGAGAAAGTAAAAAAAAAAAACCTGGTAGGGAGTCTTGCTGGTAGGCCATCACTTTAACTGATATAACCCCCACGTTTACTAGATAATTCTTAGAATAAAACTCCTCGACTGTGCAGCCTTTAACCGTGTTCAACATTATTTTAAGCAAGTATGACGTTTTTAGGGCACATAGCATTTTTCTGATGTGATTACATCCAACATTAAGCCTGATGCACAGTTTTTGTAACAGAAGTGCTGAAATATTTCCAACTGAAGGTTAACTCTCCAGGAAAAAAACAAAATTTCCAACACAGTTATTCTAGGAAAATTCATCACGTTCTGCCAAGCCATTTCTGCTTCACACAGATGGCTTATTTTCACTGGAATCCCTTTTAATTGAATTTATAGCTGGATATTACATGTCTGCTTTATCTGCTGTTCTATATAGTGAAATCTAGAGAAAGATGTAGCAAAACCTCTTCCGGTAGAGGCGTCGTGCAGCCTCAGTTAAGCTCTCTCTGCTCCAACCCCCTGGCCGTGCTACTTTTCCATTTCACAGGGGCATCGGGAGGAGGAGAGAAGAGGGGGGGACAAGCAAGCATGTTGATTGCCTGGCCATGGTGAATCTAAGCTGCTTGGTCTGTGAAGACAATGGAGAGGCTCCTCTTGACTTCAGTGGACACTATACAGCTGTACATGTGCCTGTAGCCAGTAAAACCATCTCAAGCCTTTATATAGTATAGCTCTTTCGCTCTAGAGTATAATTCTGTTAAAAGTAACTTAGCCGTCCTCTACTGAACAGCAGTAGAAAACAGGACTGCAAATTAATCATGGGCTAGTGGATGGCAGCAGTGATATCTCCAGAGAATGCTGTTGTTGGCTGATGACCATTATTTGCCCGGTGGAGCTGGAAATAGCAGACATGTGCAGATGTTTTGATTTTTGCATCAAACCTATGCTTTTGGAAATGCCTCTCTTCCCCATGATGGTTCTGTTCTAGACCTGGTCAGGATGGCTGCAGGCCATATGGAGGGTTGGAAACATGCACATGTGTAAATCTGGATGGGTGACAGACCCTGCTCGCGTTAGAAGAAAGAAGGAAAGGTACGGTGTACCCACTATACGTTTCTCTACTAACTAGTTGCTTCGAAAATATTAGATGCTGTGGTGCTATAAATGTAAATGCTGTTTTCCAATAAGCATGATTAAAACAAGATATTTCAATTGGTGTGTGATACAGCTGTTACGAACACCAAAGTATTTATAGATAAGCCCATGTCATCTGAAATGTTATAAGCATTCTTTAATTTTTCTAAGATCCAGCTTTGGTAGCTACTGGTTGCTATGTGACTCTGAATCCCTGGGAGCTTTTGTGTTTGTTGTGTTTTCTTTACTTTTTAAAGAAGTTCGGGTTGTAGGGAAGATCTCGTGGTTTCTGTGGCACTGTATCTCTGGGGGTTTTGTCCAAGGTGCTTGCTCTAGTGGTTCTGTAGATATCAGCTGCTCGCTTTCTGTTGCTGTTTGAAGATGTCTGACAGCAGCTAAAAAAGATCCATAAAATAACTCCTATAAGAAAGGAGGGTAGTGTGCTCTAGCCAACAAAGGAAATTAAAGTGGATTATGCCCCTAGCCACCAAGTCACAAAATGAGACCCGTATATTTTGGAGCCCTTCATTAGATGGTTCCATTCCTTATTGTAGCCAATTCTACGCATTACAAAAATTTAGAGATCTCAACCCATGAAACAGATGATGCCAGTCGTAAGTAATGACTGCTGACAGCTGATTTCAAGTGGAGAGCAATTTCAAATTCTTGGCATGCTTGGTTAAATATTCATTGAAACTGTACTTTGTATTTATAGAGCTTTCCATCTCCAATGTACTTCACAGCTATATGTGACCCAAACAGCTGTCTTGAGAGAAGGAGAAACTACACAGAGAAGGGCGTCTCTATATTACAAACTGAGTCAGCTGGTCTCTGGTTCTTTTGCCCTGTGCTGGTTCTCTAGATGATGCTCCCTGCCTGGTTCATACATATTTTCATCTTTTAAGCACTTTTTTTATTTGCATCTTCTTCCACTGCTGTGCTCTGCTGACAGTATCTCAGTTGTGTTCTCCTGCACTGGCTCTTTTTCAGAGGGTGGTGCTCCATAAGGCGAATGGAGGACAGTTGAGGGAGATGGCGGGGGAAAGAATAAAAGCAGGAGGAAGGGTAGGTAGTATGCAGGTGAAAGAATGAGGGAAGAGGGGACGTCTGCAGAACTGATTGCAAGATCCTAACACCTTGAAAATAACTGTGTGGTATCAATTCCCAACACCCCCTATCCCCCCCAACTCCCTAAAAAACTCGGGTTTGCTACAGGCAAGTAGCGCAGAGGTAGGAAGGAATCCTCCCTTCTCCCTCTTCGGGTAGGTCTGCAGTAGCAGTGTCCCTGGAGCGAACCGCTTTCTGATTAACTTGAATCAGCTGGCAGGTTTGTGCATCCTGGTCTGGACGTTCCTGGAATGTGTATACTCTGGCACGCACATTGTTAGCTTCCTCCTAATCTGAGCCTCAGAGCAAACCACATATGCTTTCAGACCATCTAGCTTAGCGTGGGCAGACCAGCTTAACTATTCAATTGGCGATGTAGACAAATGCTCAGCCACAGGGCTGGCGAGCGGCTATCTCCTCCCTCGCTAGCACTGTCTTGTGGTGCATAAGTCCCTGTCGGTATTGTCCTCATCCCCATACTTATTTTTTCACTAGGAAAAAAAAAATGGTGTATGTTCTGCTTCCTAATATTGCATCTTGTGAGTGTTTCCACTATTGACTGTCTTGTTCATCCACACCTGAGTTGTCAGAGATGCTGTGCTTGGTGCATATTTTGTGTGCTATCGGCTATTACTAGTGTCCTGTTGCTGCAGTACCTCTTTGTTATGCTTGCTGCCTCTTGGTCACCGTGTAGGCTGGTTTGTGGCGACTCTGACTCAGTCCGACTCTCTTGCATGTTGTTTTCATCTCTGTGGAGTCCCCATGCGTCATACAGCTTCAGCAATGTGGCGTTTTCAGGAAGTGGATCTGAGTCGGGGTTTTCTGAACTACAGTATAACTTCTTTAAAACAGAACAAAATGTCATATACCGTGTCAAGGTGCTATTTAAAATGACCAACTATAATGTGCCATCTCATTGCAGGGAAACTCTCATGGCTAACTCTAGTCCTGTTTTTCAAAGCAAGTTAGATGAGATGCTTCTAAGAGTGAGATTCGGGGTTTAAGGCAGGGGTTAGCAAGGTTTTTGGGCAGAGTGCCAAGAGCACCCACCACTTCAACTTGCAAAATGTTGGGACGGATGGTGCGGGAGCCACAAAGGGCCTGACCCTTGTGGCCATACAGCCTGGCCCAATCCCAGCCATCCACCCAGAGGCATGCATGCCAAGCAAAATGTCTTTGAGTGCTACACTTTGGCACCCATGCTGGGGATTGCCTACCCCTGGTTTAAGGTGTAGTTCACTTTCCTTCATGAAACTCCTCACTGAGCCCTACTCTGGGAGTTAGGCTCCCTGTTGTATAGATCAGAACCTGGATTTTTGAAGTTGAGGGGAAAAGTAGGGGGATCTGAAAAAAAATAAAAATAAATGGAGCTTTACTTTAGCATACAATTCCCTGGCCCTCTGCAAGGAACCCATTTTCTTTCCAAACATAAAAGCCTTAGTAAGCTAAAAGATCAAAACTACTTTGCTAACTGCCAAGTTGCTTCTGTGACTCCGTTTTTGTACATCTGGATCCTATCTATCCCAGGACCCAAAATGCGTGGATCCTGATTTAAATCCAGAAATGCTCTGAGGATACACATTACAAGGAAGTAATGTAATCTTTCATAGAGAGAAACTGCACATGAGCTGCTCAGTTTGCTTTGCTGCATTGCCTGGGCCACGTTCACTACGAGCTCAGGCAAATGCGCTTGCACATATCAGTGCGGTTTCACCCATCGTTCTGCAAAAAAAACCCAACACTGGTACTTGAATCTCTGATGCCACCAGGTGTCACTGTGGGATTATGGTGGTTTCTATATGCAGAAGCGCTCCGCTGATCGGCTACGTGCAGACGTCTAAGGCCGTGCACCACGTAAAAGTTCTATCGAACTCAACAGCCATCGAACCAATAAAAATGGACAGCAATGTAATAACAGTGTTATGTAGGAACGACTCGTAAAACCTCGTCAATTAAACTATTTTGAGCCGTCCTATAAAGTTTTGCATCGAGCCCTTATTCCAGGGCTGTCGGGCGTCACAATGCTTAACATCTTAAAGCCCCAGATCCTGGAATCAAGTGTTTCGATGAGAGTTGTGCCCACCATTTAAAGTGTTACGCCCTGAGGTTTGCAGGAGGGGCCCAGCCTGTGCTGTGAAACCCGGTCCACACTGCATCGGAAAGCAAAAACGAACTAAAAGGAATAGCCATCTTGCAACTGGATCTATTTTGTGTTGACTTATCTCCCCCGCTCGGTTTGTACACAGCCTCACTGAGACTGCTGCCTGGGGCTGGGGTTATGCAAAGAAATCTTTGCATTTTAGTGTTTGTGCTAAATGTGATTTTGTTTCTAATGATGCTTTACATTTGCTTGATATTCTTCGTGGATGTATTAATTTAAAACTCATAATTTAAAATTCAGCCAGCTAACTCTGTCTGGCTGAATTGAGACGGGTACGTTTTTAAGCAGGGCTGAATGTGTCAGCAGTCATGGCACGTAATGGATCAGAAACGGGAATCTTGGTTTTTGACCTAGAAGAAGCGTGATGAGTAAGTTTGGCTGGCTGTTCTGATAGCCTCCCTGATCAAATGAAACTCATAAAGATATCAAATTAACATGCTGACAACCTCAAGCACTTGCTAATTACAATATTGGTTTTGCATATTTATGCTCGCTCGTCTAAATAATGAGTTGTTTCCAAATAATCTATTTATGTTTTGTAGAGAGTGTGATGATGATGATGATACCGCTCTGATCTGCAGACTGTTGTTGATGGTGTAGCAGGGGTTTGAAATCTACCACTGTTCTCCGTACACACAAAGGGTAAAGATGCTTTTCTCCCACTTGTCCTACATAACAAAGGGTGTCTGTCAGCCATTATATAATGACTGGTTTGTCACTTTGTCTATTTGGAAACAGTCTACTCTTATAGAAGCTTGCCACATCCTGTATAAATATAAATACCATGTACTTTCTTGCACCATACTTGTCAGCATAGCTGCCACTGGAGTCCCTTCCTGTGGCATAACTAACCCCAGTAATGTATTGTTCTTTCCTTTATCTTCTCTCTCGGAAAAGAATGTGTGCAGGAGAGTTTCTGGTTTTAAGTGGGTATTTTATTTTAACACACCCATGACTATGGTTGTTAAGAAAAGCAGGTTAAAGAAATGTGCTTTGCAGTTGGAGCAGGAGTTGATGTGGTTTGTGATGGATGTTAGCTACCGGTGGAGTTAGTTGTGCAGCTGTTGACCAGCCCCTGAGAAAACGGTCTCCTGGTCCGCTACACCGATGACTTCACTGATTGTGGAGAGTCGGTTGCGCCAGGTGAATAAAGATCCTAGATCTGGTCTCGATTCCAGACCCCTGGGGAGCATTTAACGACTCTAATGCTAGTTACAAGGCTACTGCCTCGTACAGTGGTTCTTAACTTTATTTGCCACAGTGGGCCACACTTGCAGCTCTCAATGTGTTGTGGGCTGCACCCACGCAACTTACTTCCTGTGTATCCATTTAAAAAACGTTTTAATGGGATATCACATGGGCCGCAGCAGTGTTGCTGACTGGGCCACAGGTTGGGAACCACTTGTTTAGCACATCTAAGAGCAGTTTGATTTAATTTTTCATCCTTTGAAGGTCTCAGTTTGGAGTCATTTTATTCTTTTGCAGATTAAGAACATAAAGAAATATCTGGCAGACACTGGTCACTTTGTGTTCTGAATGGGAATGAAATGGCTCTAGACCTACGGCTTCAACTCTCGTTTCACTCCTTCCCCTTTCCAGATACAAGGTGAGCAAGGCTCTCTTTCCAACAGGAAACAAACAATCGTGTGCCCCCCCAAAAGTTGAGCAAGATCAAGGCACTAAACATTTTTGAACCTGAGTGTCTTATTTTCTTTAATGCCCAGGGAAAACACAAATCTGAGTCTCTTAATTCTGTTTTAAAAGCAATGCAGCAGTACACTTCTTTGGACCATTCACTTCTGAATTACTCTAAGTTATTCAGCCTATGACCAAGATGTGTATTTATGTTGGTCTATGAATGCCTGTAAATTGATTAACACTTTGGAGTCCAATGTGTCTGAAGCAATGTCTTGGTTCCATTTCTCTGGCAAGAATTAATATAGCTGGGGCTAGGCTATTGGATTGTGTTGGGGAGCTGAGATTTTATTTGAATTCAAAGATTATTTCAACATTTTTAAACCCTTGGGACACTGGATGATGTGAAATGCTTGCATGTCCTAGGATGAAATCCTGACCCTATGGAACTCCATTGGAGTTAGGCCAGTGAGACCAGGATTTCTCCCCAACTTTTATCTAAGTCATAGAAGACGTCTGCATGGCGTAGATATCTCTTCAAACGGGTAATGCAGGAAAAACAAGATGCATGTCCCTCTTTACTCCCCTACTGATGCATGGTTCTTACCAGAAACTTAGCCATTTGGTTGTTCTTACTGTATTTGTATAGCTTACGCAGCTGTTTTGCATCAAGCTCTGAGAAAAGAGACACGAATCTCCACAGCATCCTAGAGGAAGGAATAGTTGAGTGAAGGAACATGCTTGAATGCAAAATATTCCACCCCCACCTCTTTAGCATTATTTAGTAAGAATTTCTATCTGCCTCTTCTATACTTCTTCATATAGGATTTTTAAACAATTTTGTAAGCTTATAAACTGCAGAGCATGGTTCCTCACAACAAATGGGATGGGTCATTCTTTAGTTCCAGGCCAAGCAGAAACACATGCATCTGATAGATCTCCAAGTCAGTATGTCCAGCATTACTCTTGAGGCCCTTCCTTATTCCAATAAACCAGCCTCCCCGTTGCCTATAACTCTTCTAAAAGAGAAAATATTATTGCCATGAAGCTCATTCAGCCATCGCAGACTGGGGTTGCTTCTGGTAATGCTAGGCGTTGTTATACCATGGTTTATATTCGCCTTTCGTATAATGCCATTGAATTAAGTCGCACATTGCTATGTAGATCCTGTATCGCTGGAGTTACTACCAGTGATGAAGCCAGGCCATTTGACTGGATGGACTTCATAAGGTAAATAAACCTTCGATTAAGCACTTCTGGATAGTATGGTAGGCTTGCTTATATCGGAAATACCCTACGTATATGAATACCATATATAAATTAAGTATTATTACTTTTACAACTATTGCATTCATTGACCCTCATACATGCAGGGCAAGTCTAGGCTGCTCTCAGCTTATCCTAGCCTGAGTGACAGCAACTGTGTTGTACAGCAAAGCTCAAATCACACGTCCACACCAGCACAGCACACTCTCCTATGTGGTATCACGACTTCTGAGGACATATCCCATGGCTTTTTTGCACTGTGGTAACTTCTCTTTCAACTCCAGGCACATGAGGGATTTTCTGCACTGGAAAACTAGTGGTGCTCAAGGTGTGTCGGCTTGTCACTGTGCTGAGGAGCTGGCTGTGTTAACAAACGACAAGTTGTGCTTGATTGAGTTTTGGCCTACGTCCCTGACGAGGCCAGTCCACCCAAGTTAAATGTACCAACACACTCAAGGTTAGGGGATTTTGTGTGTAGACAGGACTCAAGTTATGATTCACGGTACTTTTGCACTGGAGAAAAACCCAGTGACTCATCCATGAGGTCAACCAAAGAGGCTTGCCAAAATTAGGCATTTTTAAGAGTTGACATGTACCCACAGGTCTCCGTGGAAGAAAATTCTGGGGGCTAAGCATCTAAGAGCTGATTTAAAGTGATCACCCAACATTAGCGTAGGCTTCTGGAAGTGTGAAGCTAAGTGACATCCAAATGGCCCTGGTATGTTGGACTTAGTGAGGGCCATAATCCCATTCGCACAGCTGTCAGTGTTGCACTTAAACCTTTGACCCGACCTTCCACATAAAGGGATATTACTCCAAGTGTATCATCATTGATGCATTAAAGAATTATCTTACGTTTCCCAGTGTTTGAGTTCCCAGGATTTGCAGTAATGTTGAAGGAACATATTGATGTGATCCCCAAGTATGGTCAAGCTTTTCTTAGTGTACTTGAGTTTTTTGTCTTTGGGGAGATCCTGAGGCAAATCCAGTTTGCGAAGAGATTTCTTAAAGGGTCTCAGGAACTCCTTGCACTGGGAAAAATACAGAGCTTGATGAGACAAAATGCAGGTTTATTACTCGAAATTCAATGACTGACAGCAGCTGTTTAAATTCCCTTTATAAAATAAACTCGCTTACGTTTTCTGCTCAAAACGCATCTAATGCTTGTTATAGTTAGGAAATATCATTGGGACAATGTTAGGAGTTGCTTTAATTGTTCTGTATGGTGGAGCCCCGTAAGCTCAATTGTGCGTTCTCAGAATGCATTTTAAATTCCACAAGTCAGTCTTGCCTGTCAGGAATTATAAGGGGAAGGATTGGAGGATTTGCAGAGGAGAGGAAATTACCCTTTGCTATAAGTCAAAGTCTAAATTCTAATTTAAAATATACCTCATCCCATGTACCTGTGCCCTGCTCTGCCCCAGAAACATTGACTTGTGTCTTCCAGTAAATATTGAACAAGAATCTATGGCCACAGAGCAGCTGCTTTGAATCTGCAAAGCGGTAAGTCCACCATCAGTCTTATCAGTTGTTATATATAGTTATCACCATTTTTGTACCATATAAATAGCCTTATTGAAGGAAAACATCATCAAAACTGTCCAGTAATTGTGAGCGCTCTTTTTTTGGGGGGTATCCAACTTCAAACGTGAGGGTTAGGCCTTAGTGTTATGTATCCACAACTCTAGTAGAAATGGGTGAAGCTGCAGATATTTAGCATTTTTGGAAAAAATCAAGGCCCCAAGTTGTTAAATTTGAACATCTGGAATCTGGGTCAGAAGAAGGTAGCGGGCTTTTCAGAAAATATAGATCTAAACGACTTGCCCAAAGCTACAAAGTAAGTAATTGTCAGAGACGTGACTAGAAATGTGTTAAAAGAGAGACTTAGTAAATGAATAGTTGGGGGAAAGATGATGAGAAGACAAACATTTGCAGCACACAGAAGGAAGTTTGTATTTTTTTTTGTTCCTTCTCCTTCAGATTTCTGCAGCTGTTTCCTCTCTCTATAAGGAAGGGATAAGAGAGGTCCTTTGCATTTCTACAGCTAAATTCTATTTAATATCTCACAATTTTAAAGGAGTCTTGATCAAGGCCATCTGTGTAGTGGATGAGGGGGTGTCCAAGTGGTGCTATACTTGACTTGCACTTTGAAGAGGTTGCCTCATTCCCGTTGCTGAGTAAATACTCTTCCTCCGTCTACAAATGACCAAACTACCATGTTAGTCCTTTGAAGTACATGAGTTCTGCAACTATGGTTAATTGATGCCTACAGTAAATGCTAGCACAAAGCTGAGAATTTGAATAAGGAACTATTCCTGCCTCCGTCAAAAGCATTTAGGGTGGGGTTTTCGGTGGTATCGTGGGAGCTGGGCACCTGACTTCCTTAACTGAAAAGCCAGCCTGCGTTGGATACAAAGGACATTTCATAGATAATATTATTTGTCCCGTATTACACTAACCAAATAGGAATGGGAATTCAACTATTAAATAGAAATCCCCGATTACAAACAATAGATTGCGATAAGCCCTGGCCCCTTCCACTGAAGTCAAACAAGTCTTTTGGCAACGTCAGAGGACTCTCGATTTTATAGTGACTTTTTTCCCCTAGCGTTTCCACTTTACGCCTCTAGCCAGCCATATCATACCCACTTTGGTACTTTGACTTTCCCATATCTATTTCCTACCGGGTGTGCCCTTCTTCAAGACTCACCTTCTCCACTCGGCAAAGCCTTTCTCCTCCACTCTCTGAGGCCTCCATTCTGGCTAAGGAGGGATGAGAAAGTTGCTCGGTGGCCAGCACTTCAGCCTGCGGGCATTTGAATCCAAACCTGCTTGTGTGACATCACCTCTGAAGCGTGTTGATTCCATATTCTATGGCTGTGCTTCGTTTGAGTCCTCTCCGAAGCCTCAAGGAGCAGAGGCGTCCTGCTTGACTATAGACCAGCTGCCCATTCTAGAAAAGGAGATGCACTCTTTACGGTTATGAAAATGAAATTGTGCCCCAGTTAATGGGAAAGAAAATCACAGAATCATAGAAAACGAGGGCTGGAAGGGACCTCAGGAGGTCACATCTAGTCCAGCCCCCTGCTCCAAGCAGGACCAGCCCCAAATACATCATCCCAGCCAAGGCTTTGTCTACCCAAGTCTTAGAAACCTCCAAGGGTGGAGATTCTGTAACCTCTCTGTGTAGCCTGTTTCCGTGTTTTACTACCCTGCTAGTCGGAAAGTTCTTCCTAATATCCAACCTAAACTTCCCTGGCTGCAACTTGAGACCGTTGCTCCTTGTTGTGTTATCTGCCACCACTGAGAACAGCCCGGCTCCATCCTCTTTGTGGCCACCTTTCAAGTAGATGAAGGCTGCAATCAAATCCCCCCTCAGTTTTTAGAATCGTAGAAAAATGAGGGTTGGAAGGGATCTCGGGAGGTCACGTCTAGTCCAACCGCCTGCTCAAAGCAGGACCAGCCCCAACTACATCATTCGTCATACTAAATAAGTCCAGTTCCCTCCACTTCTCCTCATATAAGTCAGGTGGCCCAAATGTTAAAGTTAACGTTGCTTGTTAATATATTCAGTATTGTTGGTGACACAATTACATGTTGTTAAGTGAATTTGCAGTCTTGGGACCCACTGGATAATGTATTGAGTGGGTCAATACAAAGTGCAAAGAGTGCTAATTAGAGATTTGGTTGATCTTATTTTGATGTTTCTAGCCGAAGGAGTGAGACTAAAAAATCAGACAGCCTTGAGTTTCTGTGCAACGATGACTGAAGAACTTAACTTGGTTGGTTGGTTGGGGGGGAAGGAGGAAAGAGGGGAGTTGTCACAGGATACGAAGCTCGGAGAGGTCACAAATGTTCGGGTGTTGGTATAAGTTGCTAACACTGGAATTTGCAAAGGAGTCAAACTCCCAACTCCCCCCTGAAATGGGATGGCATCGGTGCCTCCCACTCGTACTCCGTGGAAAATCCTAATTAGTCCATTTCAGTCATTTTCCACATCTGATATTACAGACACTCTCCTTCAAAAAGAATACATTGTACTTGTCAGGAGATGGTTGGAAAGGCTTTGTGCAAAAGGGTTTTTTAGAAATTACTTTGAGAATAAATAATTTATTTTTTTTAACAAAGGAAAATTGATCTAATCGGTCGCAGTCTGACCAGCCAAATGATCATAATGTCCTGTCCCCTTGTACGTTTAAGCTAATTGTTTGTTGCAATTCAGCTCTGCTCCCATGCCAGGTTGTTCCTATCACTGGGAGGTTTCTCAAGCAATCTCCAACAATATCATTTAAATCCTTTTGGAATAGTTGCTAGTGATAAATGAATCAGTAAATGACCTTTGGCTGAAACATGCGTGCTTACCTACAAGCCCCTCAATCTACCTTAAGGAGCCTGGCTTTCCGAGATGCTGAGCACTGACTTGGTTCCTCTGTGAACATCTAGTTGCTCAACACCACCGATACTCAGCCAAGTCACGGAGGCGTCTAGTGATGGGTTTAGAGGCCAGTCTTCAGGCATCACTAGTTTGTCCTTCGGCTATCGTCAAAGTCTTCTTTAGTTTTAGATGCGTGAAGTAATGACAGAGTTCCCCAAGACAACCATGTCCTGTTAAGCGTCTGCGGGTATCCGTCTACCTCCTCACTCCTGCTCGTCTCCTGCAGTTCTTGCATCACGTCTGGGATTTGAATTCAAGTTCCTCGAGGCAGACCCCTCGCATGCTTCTGGGTGCTATCAAATACAAAATGAATATAGTACGTGTCTCTTTGAGTAGTACTTAATGCCGCCGTCGGCAGTTAACATAAGTTCTCTTGGCTGGGATTGTCACCAGCATCAGTGCTTGTTCCACGTCCACCTGGGGAAAAGAGGTCTGCTTTCAGCACTTGGTATACAGCAAGGCAAGCTGGAGTCATTAGCGTGATAACACTCTAACAACACGTTAACCTGCAACTTGGCGAGACTCGGTTACCGTTTTAATGTCTGTTCTTACAAGGATGCATCCAACCGGTGTTCTTAGCAAAATGAAGGCGAGATCAACCCACCTATCTAGACTGGGCAACAAGAGCAGTGACGACGCAGCAGCATTGGCTTCAGCATATGATGATAATCAGAGTATGCATGAGCCCTGCAGGGATCCTGGCTACATGGTCTTGTTAGCATGCCAGAACTCCCTTGCTGTTATCTCCAAGTGGTAAGTAGTTTACAGCTAAACAAAGGTTGCCTACCCATGCCCGAGCCACAACTTCACCAGGAAAAAATGTGGATGTCTATAATGAAATGAAGACAAGGCTTCTGAATCCTGTTCTTTATTACCTTTTGAGTTCTAACTGCTGCCCAGAGAGTATTACAGTAATGACAGGGTACTTATTCAAGCAGTCGTTAAACTTCACAATGTGGGTTTACAGTAGAGACAGCCATTTTTATTCATCTTTCCTGTGGAGTTGCATTAGCAGAGATGCAGGCTGGAATGCTAAGCAATTGTCAAATTGCTTTTTGTCTCTTACCTCTGATATGAATAGTCTTTTCCAAGCTGTACCGTACCACAGCTGATGAATTTGTTCAGCCTCTAAACTTTTTTTGGTACAAAATAGCCAGTCCTGTCCTGTCCTGTGCATCTCCCTGAAAATCAGACAGAGGGGTGAGGAATTTGAGCCTGATGCCAGTCTTTATGGGATTGTGATTGAAGAATGCCCTTCTGAGCCGCCTTTTTTGTTTTTTTTTTCCTCCAGCTGGCATCAGACTGCCACTTTTGAAGCCTATAATATTTAGAGATGGTATAACCCAAGCCACATCTGTGTACATGTTTTCAATTGCATTGCCTACTTGCTGTCAGGCGTCGTTTGGAAACAATATTCTAATTAGATGGAAAGAAGAAAAATCCGGGAGGACAAATAGATTATACGTCTCATATTCCACAGTGAGGAGAGAGAGAGAGCTTTAGCCTCCGGTCAAATATGCTGTACTATAGCGGTGCACCCACGGGAAAGCCTTTCCCTTTCCCCTGACAGCTCTTCATGAATAATCATTCTGATCGCTTATAGAGTACTTTTATATTTTCAAAGAGTTGTGCAAAATGCAAACTGTAATCTTTCCATCAAAGCAGCTGTTTTGGTGCAAGATTAGGCAGATGTCTAAAATACTGATATTTGAGAAAACGGCATCCATTTAACAGAAAGAGCATGTGTAGGATTCCTATTTCGATGTGATTCGTGGCATGTGACACGCAGGTAGTACTGTGCCCTGGTAGGTTGCGCACAATTTGATTTATACACTGATAGGTACACGGCTTTTTGATGTTATACTTGGAAGGCAGCTGAGAATCCAGGTGATGTTTGTTCAGTATTGGCATTACCACGATATAGTGCAGTGTACTTCTAGCTCAAGGTCATTGTTTCTTTGCCTTTTAAGAGGTCTTTCGAAGGTTTGCTCTTTTTTTATCCCCCTTTATAAAGTACTCTTTTATACGCCAGTGGCCAAATTCTGCCCTCTGATTCCCTTCTCTATCTGGTCTTTTAGCTGTTAGAGGTTGAGGAAGGAGGTGAGAGTAAATCTAAGGATGGGATTCAACTATTATTTTATTGTTTGGCATGAGTTGAGTCTGAGGGAGTGAAAGGAGAGAAATAGGAAGGGGACTGTTTTCCTTTGCAGCCAAACCCTAACAAGATGCTTGTGCCTCCCCTAGCTTAGAAGAGTGGAAGATATCAATCGTTACTTGGATCAGGAGATGGGGATTTCTTTGTCGGGTTCTCTTCTGTAAGGCTTTATGCCAAGACAGATTGAAGACTTATCTCCTCCGTGTAGTCTTGCCATAATGAAAACATCTCAATAATTTTCTATACCTGTTTGTGACAAGGGTAGGGATTAAGTCCCAAAGAAGAATCTCCATCTTGTTCTCATTCATATATGATTAAGCAGCTTTGACATTAAGAGCATTGGGGTCCTCTGTTTCAATTATTTATTTGTATTTATATTGTATTATAAGGAGCTCATATGCCAATGAGAGAGGTTAGTGTGCATTTCTCCAGGCAGCTCTCAAGGCTTTTCTGGTCTTTCTTTTCATCCTCCATTCAGCATCTTTTTTCATGTTAAATTTCTGACCAAAGGGATCTGCTCTTTTTTTAGGCTTCAACAATATCTTGACCTTGGAGGCACAGCTTGGTGCCCAGAGGAGTTATCTGTCTCTGTGTGCTCTGAGCTGAGTCTATCAGAGGAGTCTTTAATATAATTAGGGTTTTCTCTATTGCTTTTTTTTATTACCCTTCCAAACAGCTCCTCCTCTTAATCTTTATATATCTTGCGTTTGCTTAGGGTGAAGTGTTGTCCTTCTCTAATGGATGGTCTGCAGATGGGTATAGCTCTTCAAGTTTTGGCTTCGCAAGCGCTAGATCTTCTCTCTAGTCAATTCACCCAGAAACCGTCTTGCTTTTTGATTCTGGATCCCTGCTCGTCAGTGGCAATACCCTTCTTGGTGTTCCTTTGTCAGAGACTCTGCTATTTATGTGGCTTGTTTCTATGCAGATCTCTCTGCCTGTTCCTTAGGATTTCCAGCCAGATGCCAGGTTGTTCATTAAAGCTATTTGTAAACGATATAACTTTTTTTTTTTTTTTTAATCTGCGTGGTATCTTCAGGAGCTAGAAAGTAGGGTATCAGCTATCTTCCCACTCTCTGTGACTTGCAGTCTACTGGGAATAGATTAGTTTGAGCCTTCCTTTTATTGCATTTCCTTTTTTTTTTTTTCTTTCTTTATGAACTGAAAAATG